GATGGGGTTTCCCTATGTTGGCCAGGCTGGTCTCAAACTCCTGACCTCCAGTGATCCATCCACCTCAGTCTCCCAAAGTGCTGGGATTACAGCTTTGCACTCTGTGTTATGTCAGCCTGTACATGGTCTTCTTAAGCCAGTTTGAGTTGGTTCCTTACAGCAAAAAGCATCCTTACTCATGGCTCTGGGACAATCAGAAGACCAGATAATCAAATACCATTCACTGTGCCTTACCTGCATTCTACAAAGTAATATTGTCCTCACTTGAAGATGGAGAAATGAAGGTTCAGAGAGGCTAAGTAACATGCCCAAGGTCACACATTCCCCACGCCATGTCAGGACTACAGCCCACGTGGGACCCACTCCAGATTCCATGTTCTTTATCCTGGCAACATGCCAGCAAAGGAGGAAGCAAAAGAACTTTAAAAGCAGACGAAGGAGCTCAGGAAACTCCGCAGTTTGGGGCACTCAGCAAAGGGGCCGATAGCCCCTGACTTCAGCAGACAGGGAGCCAGAAGCACGTACAATTGGAGTTTACAACAGAAGGTACTACTTGCTACTTAAAAAGTCAGGGAACAGATTTCTATAAAAGCTATCGCCTTGGCAAGGCGTGGTGGCTCACATCAGTAATCCCAGCACTTTGAGAGGTCAAGGTGGGGGGAATTGCTTGACCTCAGGAGTTCAAGACCAGCCTGGCCAACCTGGTGAAACCCAGTCTCCAATAAAAGTTCAAAAATTAGGGGGACGTGGTGTCTCACACCTGTAATCTCAACTACTTGGGAGACTGAGGCAGGAGAATCACTTGAACCCAAGAGGTAGAGGTTGCAGTAAGCTGAGATCCTGCTACTGCACTATAGCCTGGGCGACAGAGGGAGACTCGCTTCAAAACAAAACAAAACACCAGCCTGGGTGTGGTGGCTCACACCTGTAATCCCAGAACTTTAGGAGGCTGAGGCAGGAGGATTGTTTGAGCTCAGGATTCAAGACCAGCCTGGGTAATATACCAAGATCTCACCTCTACAAAAAATTAAAAAATTAGCCAGGGTGGTGGCAAGGGCCTGTAGATCCAGCTACTTGGGAGGCTGAGGCAGGAGGATCAGTTGAGCCTAGCAGGTCAAGGCTGCAATGAGCTGTGGTACAGAGTACAGAGCAGCACTGTACTCTGGCGAGTACATCACTGCCTGGGTGACAGAGTAAGACAGAGTGATACTCTGTCTCAAAAATAAATAAATAAAAATAAAAAAGGCCAAGTGCAGTGGCTCATGCCTGTGATCACAGCACTTTAGGAGGCTGAGGCAGGAAGATCACTTGAGCTCAGGAGTTTGAGACCAGCCTGGGCAACATAGTGAGAACTGTGTCTCTACCAAAAAAAAAAAAGAGGGAGAGAGAGTAAAAAACGTCAGGCCTCACCCATAGCCTACTAAATCAGAACCTTCAGAGAATTGGGAGGGGGCAGGAATGTGCCTTTTAACAGGTTCCCTGGGTAACTGGTGGAGGAGTATACAGCTTGAAGGGTTCCCAGCTTCTATCTCCAGCCCAGACTAGGGCCCTGAATTCCAGACTTGTGTATCCAACTACTTACCTGACATATCCTTTTGGATCTCAATTTTTATTTTTTCTTTTTGAGACAGTCT